AGAAGCTGGAACGTTGGGCACTTTTGGGGAAAAATTTGATCTCTCTGTTGATCAACCGTTTGCCTGAATAATTCTATATAAGCATCACTTTGAGTTATTGTGTTTGGCTTGAAAGCCTTAAAAAAACACGAATAACATAAGTAATGATTAGCTGTACAGTAAACTCTGTGCATGAAAATGATGCAAAAAGCAATGCGCTCCAGTTTGGGTGGCACAAATTGAGGTGAAAAGGTGAAGTCTGATCCCGAGTGAGAAATTTCAGCTGATACAGTAAAGTAAAAGCTAAACACTGGGTAGCAGGTGTCTCTTCTGAGACCTGTAAATATCTCTCACGCAATCTATTTACAGCTAAAAGAAACACCGCTGGCCTGTGACCTTTAATACAATCTCAGTGGGTGGTGGCTCCCCAAAGAAGCCATCGATTGTTCCAGCTGCCAGACCTGGTGTGAAATTAAAAACGTAAGAGTGCTGGGCTAAAAATAGTATAACTGGAGTGTGCTGTCACTGTCTTAATCTCCTTTGCTGTTTTTAACCAGTCAACAAAAGTGTGAGCACATCCGTTTTGTTTTCTCTTTTAAAAAAATCTGTTAAATATTTAGTCCCAAAAGGTATGAATACATCAAAAATTAAAAGGGGTTTATAAGGTCCAAAGTGCTCAAGCAACAGAAAAACCTGTTGTTCCGGCTGCACAACTAATCAAATATTATTCATGAATGTGGCTTCCTACAATTAATTGAACATGCTGAACTGCAGTGTCGGCCCGCCTTGAGACAACAGCCAATGTAGGTAAAATCGCTTGGTTTCAACTTGGGTAGATTAGCATTAGAACGCCTTATTTTACTCTTTTCAACACCTTCGCACATCTGTCTGAGTTGTGTATGCTGCAATGACTAATTAAGGAGATTAGAAGCTTCTCTGTGCACAGCCACCTAACTAGCCTCTACCATAGCCTGCATATCAGGCGTTTAGGGAACATGTGGTAAACTGTAGTGTCTGTTGATGAGCAGATGTTTAGCAAGTGAGGTGTTTTGGGTACCATTTCATTCATTTTTGGCCTCTAGGAGATGCACTCAATTTAGATGAGCCTTTAAATGGAAATATTACAAGTATTTTGATTCAGATTTTCCAGAAGGAATGTAGAACATGTTTGTTCAAATATGAAAGAATAATTGAGATATTTTGTCACTAAAGTCAATGCATAATCGCAGCCTCAATACTCGTGGTTGTGATTTTGGTCAGAATCCGCAGCCCGTTGTGACGTGTTGGGCGGCAGATTTGCTGATGGTTTGACATATTCAGTAGGGCTTCACAGAACAACTGTGCTGATGTGTTTGACATTAATGTCATAGCTGTTGGTAAAATCTTCACTAACTCAACGTTTCTACAAGTACTCTTTTCTCAGCTGACTGCAGAGTCTGTACAAATAATGACCTTGTCAGAGTGAGCATGTTTGAGCCTTGAAGGAACAAGTTTCTTTTGTTGTGTGCTATGCAAAACAGATGTCTTTATCTCTACTTAATGATATCTTAAGCAAATCTACAGCTGTGGATTTGTCTCATTGAAGAAAAACATTTTATGCTAATCTTCATTGCATATTGCAGCTGATGTCCTTAAACAAAACAGTGGACGTAGGAGTAGTAAATAATTTCTTTGTCAGGATCGCTACACTATGTTCAGCTGGTGCTGCTTCTGAACTCAGGGTCAGCTATGTTTTCTTGGCTTTATTAACAAAGGAGTAGTCTTTTTTTTTTTATCAGTGTGGGAGTGTTTTTTTTTCTGTACAGGTATTCCTCATTTTAACTGCAGCCTTTTAAGTACAAAAGTTCTCAAAGAACACACCAGACATTCCTCTTGGCTTTTGAGTATGTGAATCCATAACGCGTATCTTCATATCTCTGGAGATTAAAGCCTCAGTTTGATCCACTTGCCCATCTTGCATGCCATTTTTAATTTTCGTCTTGCTTACACAGCTTGCAGTGGTCCATTTCTCAAGCTGACCCATTTTTGTTTGTCTGAAACAGCGCATGTCATTTCCTTTTGACTGTGTAATGTAATGTATGAGGGCATATAAAGCAAATTTATTTGCTCTTGTCCCATCCCAACCTATCCATGGCCTCTCCAGGATAGATATGTTGTTTGGCCAGCTTTTCTGCCTTGCTACGTCTTTCTCTGCCTGCCTGTCTGTCAGCTCTGAGCACCTGCAGCTGAGACAAAGGTGAACCTGATGAGGAGACGTGCAGGCTGCAGAAGGACAGGGCTGGTGGGATGTGGAGGGTCAAGGAATTGAGGGATTATCTTGGCTCATCCTCAACAGGCTCCTTGATTTAACATTATTGAAAGATCCCCTTCTACCCGACTCCAGTCCTGCTAGACACACACACACACACACACACACACACACACACACACACAGACACAGACTGTCACGCAGGTGTAGGTATGCTTAATCGACTCTGGCGGTGGACCGTTCCTTATGATAACAAACCCTGACATCAGGTATGATAACATTGTGTTACACAGGGCAGATGGGGGCCTGCCTTGACACCCTTTCAGAGATGGTTATTGATGAATAGTTCATTGTGGCAGTTGTTCAAACAAGAAGGCAGCGTGCAACTAGAGCAGCTGTTAGCCTTAAATTAAAAGCACACAATATACTCCTTTTACTGTCCGACCATTTTTTTTTCCTAACTGGCAACAACCATCTTGTGCTTAATAGGATAAGAATGTTAACTTCAGTACAGAGTTGTTTTTTTTGGGTCCTTCAACAGGTCGTAGACACAGCGAGAATCAGGCATCGGTTGTGTGGCATTATTATAGTGGGAGTAGAAATAACCAGTGCTGCAAAGAAAGCATTTCTATGTCTGTGTTGGAGCATAAATTCTGGATTTTTTTTTGTGTTAAAGCTTTTTGGGTAAACAGGGTTTCAGAAAAATTACCAGTCCAAAATGGTCAGACTTGAGGACATTAACCCTTTACAGGGCACTCTTTGAAATACTTGGAAAATAAAAATTTCAACCCTAGGGTGTTGTTGAAGGATATTTCATGATATGTTTACTTTGTGACTTAAAAATAAATAAATAAATAAAAAATGTTGCAAATCAAGATTAATAAAGTTACCATACATGATAACTTGCCTATCTATGTTTTTTTTGTTTTTTTTTTAAAGGAATTTATAATAAATAAAAGAAAAAGTAACAAACTGTAAAAAACATGTATTTAGAAACATTTTAGTTTGAGGTAGTGATATTTGCACAACCAGTAATGAAGTGTTTAGAAAGTGCATGGAACAATTGTTTAGTGACATTTTTCTTAAGGTAGGGATACTGGCACCAATATAAAAACTAAATGAAAGTGCACATGGTTCTTCAACCTCAAGGAGAGGCACAGGGTGGACATACTGAACGTCCAAGGAAGTTACCAAATGTGGTCACTTGCCCCATAAAGGCTTAAAAGATCGTTTTTTAATGTCAGACTTTTAGCAATACACGTGAAAATACAGAGATTTCTGTCAGATATGCTAAAACAGAGGTCCAGTCCCAACTTGCCACTCTAAGGCTCTAAGTAGCTAAACCCACACAGAATTAACTCGCAACTGTAGTGTTGGAATCTGTGACTGCTCAAAAGTTTCTTAAAAGAAGGGGGACTCACTGTTGTGGCAGCACATGATGCTTGGAAACAATGCATCACAATATAAGAGAAATAAATTGAAGTACAACTGATGTTTCATTCTCAGTTTGTCCATCACTCCCTGTTTGTAACATTACAGTTTTTACATTTTTAGCAAACTACTAAAAGTCAGGATAGACGTGAACATCTGTGAATCCCATGCAGACGTTTGACTGAAATACAGAAACAACTCAAACATGCAATAAATAAAAAACAGCGAGAAGCCAGAAACTGTCACTTACAGGTAAACATCCGAGCAGATTTCTTCTCTGCACCATTCATGAATGGTTTGTGTACATGTTGTGGGGGGGGCAGGGGAAGTGTGTTTATACGTCACCAATTTTGCTATGAACAAAGAGCAAATACATCAGGAAAGTCTGCAGCTATGTGGACGCACAGAAAGTCCTATAGAGAAATAGACCTAAACCTTAACGCACTGAGTGGAAATGTACTTCAAAGTCCATGAATGTGAATGTTCCGACTGATCCAGACTCATCTAATGTACATGGACGGATTGTGCTTACTGTCATGTGTAGTCACCCCCTAAAGGCTCCTTCTGAATAAATATGAATTGTTTATCTGATTGATATTGCACATTGTACTGCAATCAAGCATCCCTGAATGTTCACCAGCAAGCTCTTTCAAGTTCTGTTTTCTTTCCATTTAAAATAATGGAAAGAATAAAAATGCAAACGAAAAATTCCCTTTGATGTGGAACCAAACTGAAATTAGCAACAGCTGTACATGCACCTCTAAATGCAAGCTCTATTTTTCTATTTTCATGTTTACTCTATGGTCCTCTTCCTGCTTTTGCTTTTCCTATATCATGATGTCTTATCATAAAAGCTGTAGTAAAACAACGCTGAGTAACATTCATTGTGGGTTTAGTGCAGGTCTTGCTAAAAACACAGTCATTTGCTCCTGTGAGATGTGGGTAAATAGAGCAGAAAACATGCCTCTCACTCAGTTTGTTCTCAGCACCATGAGGGAGAATGAAAGATTTAACTGTGCGTGAGGATGTGTGTGCAACACATCACGTCTTGTTTGAGAGACGCGTCTCCCTGAGCTGATAACTCACGACTGTCAGAAAACCCGCTCACATCACAGCCTCACTAACAGGAAAAAGCCTTTTCTCTGCGTTGGGTCTGATCATTTTACGACAAAATAATTCACAGTTAGCCATTATTGTCTAAACATCACATTCCTCCGCAAGGCTAAGTGGTTGCTATGGCATACACTTAATGAACGGAAAAAGCAGTAAAATGTTAACAGCAGCTCCATTCTAATCCTCTGTCATTTACTTTCCCTCTTTTTTTTTCTCTCCTCTTTTCCAGTTCTGTCCATCCAGGCTGCAGCCATCCAGTTTACCAAGGAGCCCAAATCTCAGGACGCCCTACACGGACGCAGCGCCATGCTACGCTGTGAAGTTGGCGACCCGGCCGACATCACGTACAGCTGGCTTCACAATGGCCAGCGTCTGATAAGCGATGAGAGGCGCTTCCAGGAGGGCAGCAACCTGAAGTTCACTGCTGTTGATCGGCAGCTGGACGCGGGGAGCTTTGAGTGCGTTGTGGAAAATACTGCCACAGGAGAGCATCTCCAGTCCACTAACGCCTCCTTCAATATCAAGTGTGAGTGTTGAGTTTCAAGCCATTCTCACCCTCTTTTTTTAATTTTTATTATTATTTTTTTTTAGAAGCCCTGTGATTTCCTAAGCGAAAATTGCCAGCTGACAGGGTTTCATAATGGCACCAAAGGGTGTGCATCCAGTTTCTGGATCAAAAAAGGAAAACAAAAGTCACAGTATAAGATGACAGGTAGTATGAGCTGAAGGAATGTTTCCACCTTGTTGCCTTGTCCTTTGTGGCTTCGTCTCCTTTTCTCCATAGGAAACTAGATCTGTGTGCCACCAAGCATGTGTTTCTTGTTGCTTGTATCTTTTTTTTTCTTTCTACGTTGTGTAACATTCTCTTCCCATATCCTCTCAAAAAGCCTTTTGTCAGGAAATTACTGAGCAGTGTAATTCACCTCCTAGCTATATAATTATTTAGGTTTAGATTAATACTGCCCTCTTTGTTCCAGCGTTTTATTCTAGTCAGGCTTTTCACTTTGTCACTTTCTAAACGTTTTGTCCTATTAAGGAGAGGTACGCTAGTATCTTAATTCCGCTGTTCAGCCCCATAACCAAACCTCAATGACCCTCTTAAGTTTCCGAGGAAGCTATGAGAAGTCTGCAGAGCTCTTTTTTGGGATAAATAACAACCTTGTTTGTGCATTGTTGAAGGCCCTCAGGTACCAGTTGTTACTGAAAAGCCTTTTGTGTCCTTGTAAACACTGAGTTTGCAGTGGAAGAAAAGCAAAGCGGGGTGAAAAATAGCTCCATCTGGAATATGTTCTCCTTTCTCGCTACATTCATCCGGGAGGTTTTGCTCTGCGGCGATGATACTTGTTCAAAGGCTGATTACAAGAACAGATGAGTGTCCGGACCTCCTCGTTGCAAAACTGAGAGACAGACTGAGAGGGACAGAGGGAGGGAGAGCAGGGGTTGAACCCACTCTCTGTGATGTGTCTCCACCAGTGGATACTTGTGGTCTGCGAGCACCATCTCTAAAGACTCGCAGCCAGATAGAACATCCGTTTTCCAAACCTTGTCTAATCTAAAGGGAGTCGCTTTTATGTGTAGAAACTGAACATGATCTAGTGTGTCAATAAAACTCAACTGCTGTACTCCCACAGATTAAAGAAAAAAAAAAAAACAAGTTCAACATGAAGCACCAGTTCTACAGAGCTGCCATCATGACCCAACATAAACTGTATTATCTGCCAAGTCATTAACATTCCCACGCACTGGAGAAGAGAGGCATATTTTTATTGGAAAGAAGGTCATGTATTAATGATAAAAAAACAAAACAAAGCAGAACCCTTTTAATTGTAGAAATGTATATGGGTGTGTGTTTATATATTAACAGTAATATCTTTTTGATTAGTGTGGATGTGCGATGCTTTCAACAAATAGAGGAAAAGAGGGAAATCTTGTGTTTACTCTTTTTGCCATTGTTTCTAGATGCAGCAGGCAATCTTCAACGCAAAAGCTTTTAAATCTGCTCTACACTACTTTCCAGTACTAAACAGCCCACGGGCAAAAGGTGCTTTTCCATCCAAAGTTCCAGAAACTTTAATTTGCGAAGATGTAATGTCCAGGAACCTTCACCAAGGGTAAAAGTTCCTCCAGGCCCACCGTGTGATTTGCGTTTCCTGAAGTATCTAAAGTGTAGCAGTCTCTAGGAAATAAAGTGCAGCTATAACAACACAGCAGAAAATGTGAGTCTACTCAACCAATCAGGTTTACGTCAGTATGTCTTAAAATGAGCCTCTTAAAGTTGACCGGTGTATAAAAGACATAGTCATGAACCTGGATATGACTTAACAGGGTTCCGACCCAGCATAATTTTAGTAACTTACAGGTCTGGAAAAGTATAGAAAAAGAATCGAGTGTATTTGTGTTACTATCGCCCCTGTTCTTGTTCCTGAAATCTAAACTTCAGCTTCTTTCAAAATAAATGATCATATAAGCAGGGTTTTTTATGGTGTTTGGAGAAGTCAGCCAAAATGGTGACCACTTGTTAGAGAGCAGGCTAGAGCGAGGTTAATGTCGATAAAAGCACAACAAGAAGTAGGACTTAAGGCACACTCCTACGCAGAGCTATGTCTTACATGTATAGAGCTGCAAAACAGGTCTGCCTCAATTTATAACTGCACTAAATCTGGAAATCTACAACTAAATTGGTTAAAGAAATTAGTGACAGAAAATGCAACAGTATCTTTGAATTACATATATATACACACACAGAGAATCAGAAACACCAAAACATTACATTTGTCTGAACAGTTACAAGTTATGGAGAGATGTAGATAGTGAAAAAGAAAATCTCCTACATAAGGAAACCACTCATTTATGTCTTTAATTAACCATTGTTTTCATTGACATGATAGACAAGGCTGCACAGACAGCTTGAAAATTAAATTATTGAACTTTTTAAAAAAAGTTAACTTACCGTAGGGGAAATTAGATCTGCATATTGATTCAATATGCTAAGAGAAAATAATGAGTGTAGGTAGCAGTGGTCTTCTTTGGGCAGAGATGTTGCTCTCACTGGTTGTAGCTTTGCAGCTTAGGTAAAATGCAGCTTATTTGTCTGGGTTTGGTGTGAGTTGATTTGTACGAGCAACAGTCGCTAGAACTGTAATCTTCTGGCCCTTATTTGACCACATATTAGCAGACATAGTCAGAATGTAACATACACATTAACAGCTGCATGTTAAAACCATGTATATATGTAATAAACATGTAGTTATTGGTTCTTAAATGGCAAATATGGTCTGAAAAATCGACTGAGAAGTCTAGAGTTTTACATTTTTTAAATCAAAAATGTGTAGGAGCCCTGACTTAAGGCTGCTGGGTAAGTTGTGAGCAGGTCTAAAATATGTCATGCACGTGGTATTTCTGCATTTAGAGTTGTTAATGAGCACACGTTTGCATGCATGGAGTCTCCATCTGTCTCTCAGGTTGTAACCTTTCAACAGGGCCTTCAGATTTGGTTGTTCAAAGAGGCTTTTAGCAAATCCACTATGATGACGGAAGTATGCTACATATGCTGATAAAAGTATTTCTCTTTTCACGTACGAGCGCTCCATACATGCAGTGCATTAAAAGCAGATATAAGCAGCAGATACACAGTGTTACTAATGCACTACACCTTCACATGCTAGTAGAAACAGGAAGACGGATAGCTTTATATCAGATTGATAAGAATACAGCAACATGAGTGGATTCCTCGGGCATGAGTTCAGATAACAAAACACCTACAGCCGAATTTCTTTCCTCTGTTAATGGCGCAACAAGATCATTTATACGATACAGTTTTCTCAACCGAACACACAAGTGATAAATCATCCTTAAGCACCTGGTTGTGCTGCATCATTTATCACCACATTTGTCACTGCGTAATGCACAGGTTGGCTGGCCATCTCTGATCACTTTAAGTGGATCAGACCGTGTTATGACGGCCTTTCACATATTTGCACAACATACATTTAACGGGCGATAAAGCAGCGTGCAGCTTTAAAGTCAAGACCCCCTCTGGCATTAATCCTGCATGTGCATCCACTCATGTGTATGCTAGTTTGCGTGCATAGTAGTAAATGTGGACTGGGAGGGGTGGGGGAGGTGGGAGGCTCTTCTATATGTACTGTACATTGACTGTACCGGAGTAGATTGTTCCCCCTCCCCCTCTGTAGAGAGAGTTAATTTATCTTGCTTTCAATGGTGGGTGGGCAAATCCTGCCAGTTGAGAGTTATTCAAAGTAATTATCCCCCCTCTGTTTTCACTAATAGAGGTTTTAGCCCCCCTTCATCCTTTTGTCCTGTCCGGTCACTGGGTCTCCATGGCGAGACTGCACCCAGCAGAGGCGTCGGGCTCAGGCACCACTATTGTCAGCTCGATTGTTGGTCCTGCAGGCAACGCTTCGCTTGAGTCTCGGTAACAAGATGCAGACCGACAGTGTTGTGGATGTCGGTGACATAGCTTGCGGGGAAAAGTAAAAACATTCAGTAGAACCACAGACAAGGAGCACATTTTCCTCCCCACTCACAAATCGCAGAGCTGCTTGCACGAGTAGACATGCGCGCCATCTTGGCTTAGTCACACAGCGTGTGTCCTTAACCTACATTTGTTCAGCAGATGCATTTTTACAGCGTCCTCGCAGATCACCGGTGCCGCTTTGCTTTTTCTCGGCCTGTCACAGTTCCTACAGCTTGAGGTGTTTTTTTTCCCTGGATTTCTTTTGTGAGCTGACAACATGCTGCTCCTCATGTTTAATGACCCAGGCTCTGTCCGTCACATTCTCTTCTGCTAAGTGTCTTTGCCTGAGTCGCTCTCTTTTTACCTCCCCCTTTTTCTTCCTCCTGTCTCTGCCTTGTCACAGCAGCATCTCTAAGTTGCCATAGTTTGCTGCTTGGCCTGCTGACCTCTGTCAGCCACAGCTGATATAATCTGACACCTCATCTAACAGTGTCTGTTACACTTTTCCCAGGATTGTGCTGGACTACTTTTCTTTAGCAATGTTTACAATATGAGAGCACTCATGTATTTGTAATTTCCATACCCATATGGTTGTGTCAATCAAATCATATCCCCAGCACTCCTGTGGATAACACAATCCACCCTTCCTCTCAGTTGCAGAAACCCTTCTCCATGGCAACAAATCAGTTCACTGAGTGAAACAAACACACACACACACACACACACACACACACACTGAGCTGCCTTTTGGCACAGTGAGGGATGAATGGTCGAAGCATCTGCCTCGATGATATCCTCACAATTCATCTGTTATCATCCCCACGCTGATAGGGCTTCCTGTTCTGCCTCCAACATAATAATTATACGCCCCTAATTATGCCGTTAGCTGCCAGGCCTGCTCCAACACTTAGTCATGCATTCTGAGAGGGATTATGGGCAAGTATTTGCCACTAATAGGTTATGAAAGAGTGCCTTCTGTTTGTCGAGCGGACAGCTGGAGAAACTTGAGCTGTGAATGGAGTTGCGAAGGGTTAGAATGTCCGGCTGTCCAAAAATCCAGGTCAAACTGGAAATTAAGTGATACCCAGAATTGGTTTTAATCAGCCAGAGAACCAAATAGGTCAGTCGTAGTAGAAACTTGACACAGTCACAAGGCTGTGTGTTGTATTGTCCGCTCACATCTAGAGTCAAACAGTGTGTCTGGTGTTGTGAAGACTTTTCGTATCAGCCATGCTTCTTCTCTATTGGCTCTTCTTTCCGACTCTACTGGAATGTTAAAGATTTCTTGCAAATTTAAAAAAAGGCTTCAGAGGTTTTTCAGTTGACAGATGAAAAGCATACAAGGGCTGAAAAATTTGGGGAAAATCTCTTTCTGACAGATATTGCAATTTGATCTGGGATATCAATGTTTAAAGTCAGGCTTCAGTTTAATATTCACTGTGTAATACATTTAAAACATGTGATGGTGCATTACCACATAACCATGACTGACACACAAGGAGGTCGGTATGAATTTGTAAACCTGTTGACACAACAGTATAAACCTCAGATCAGATGTGCTGCATACTGTATGTCCTAAACTGCAACCGCAGCACATTTCTAATTGCATTGTTTCAAATTTCAATTTGCAATCGATTAATTGTTCAACCCAAAGGCACACTTGGACTCTGATGAATATAGTGCATAATATGGCTTTAAAGACACAGCTTGACACCATCTGACACTGAAGATACCCCCTGTTAATCCACACAGGTTGGAACAAATTCTATGTCTTCTGGGAAGTTTTAAGGTAATATGTGCTTAAGCAATCTGATGAAGCAACATGCATTTCGTCATAGTTTTTTCATGTAATCTACGAGTTAAAGTGCCTATTCTAGTCATAGTCATAGTCATAGTCATAGTCTATTCATCCTGACTGCACTGGGATTTAGATTTTTGGGGGGTTTATTGTGGTTTGCCCTGCTCTAGCTGTCACCTAGGAGTGTGTTTTCATTTTCAGATGGTGTTTGGCTCTGGTCTGTCTGCGATTCGCACTGCAAATGAGACTTGTTGTTCCATCAGACTTCTTCTAACACTCTCCTCCTCCTCAGTGACTCATTGTTTCCCCTTCTGGTTTTGTCAGTCCCCATTTGCTTTCAGTGTGCTAATAACAGGTCTGTCTGGGCGTCTGGCCTCAGGTCCCCATAGCTTGGTTGTCCTTTATCACCTCCTCCTCCCTGAGTTACTGGAGCTATTGACTGGAAACGTCTTGAATGAAACAGACAACAAATTTGCATCCTCTGTTGACCCGTGAAAGATATTTGAGTATATTTGCACACATGCATTCATGCATACAAGCAGAATCATGCGAACACTTGTATCCCACAGACATGTTCACAGTTGTTGGGCATTTGCTTTAGGAAAAAGCTAACGAGCAGCGCCTGTCTCAGACGGGAATATAGGCAAGGAAGGTTGAGGCACTATTACTGTAGAGATGATTTCCCATGATTCCCCCGGGGTGCAGAGCACTGGCAGGTTCCTGTGTAATTCATTTTGACAGGTCTCCCTCTAGCGCCCCTGCTGACCTCACAGGGGTGCTGCGTCTCTCCTCCCTCTCCACCGCTGTCTCAGGTAGTTTCATGCCATGCATATTTCATAGATGATCCACGCAGCAGAGGGGCAGCCACACTATTCAGCCAGAGGCCATAGGAATAGAGCTAGTGGAATGTCTTACACTAATAAAGCACAAATATAGACACTCCCACAGACTAATGCACAAACCGGAGCAACCCAAACAAATGTGTTCTCCCAGTGAATGCATGTATGCAACCTGTAACCACACAGTGTGTACACTTACAGCCTGTCATACAACCACAGCTTATATATCATCACATAAATAACAATTAGCCCTTGTTCTCATTCAGTGTAAACATTAAGTATTTGTGTCGTCAACACACAAAGAAGGAGAAGGGGATTTCCAGCGAGGTAAGACTGTATTACAGCTAAATATAAGGTATGACTCAGTAAGCAGACAAGTTTAGTCTCTAAATTAACTTGTCTGGTAGACTAGGTTTCCCCTTTAGAACAAATAGAGCATTTTTATATCACATTACAGGACTTTTTATTGAAATGGGGGAGAAATTCATTGGTACATCATGAGCTATACAGTGTCTGTGGTGAGCCTTTTTAACATTAGAATGGATATGTGTAATTTAGTTCTTCCAAGTCAAAAGAACAAACCCACAGTGACATTTCTCCTATCTACAATTATCATTTCAGATATTCACGTCATCATTCTTCCAGGATAAATGACTTCACTTATATCATTCATGTGTGTGGGGTTTCTCATTAAGATGGTTCAAGATATCCACATCGTGTCCTAGTTTTGACTACTGAGATTGACATGGTAGATATCTTGAGCTGAAATTCTGTCTGGTCGACATGTAATTACAGATATCTCAAGTGAGAGTTTTGACTCAATGAAATTACGTCGCAGATTTCTGTACTTACCTCAGAAGCCACCACTACTTCTGCTAGCACTGTCTAAAAGTCGTTACTGGACCAGTATCCAGTGGGACGAGAAATGTCATGCACAACAGTTAGGACTATTCATGATGACGTTCAGGATATCTGCAACTGTTATTTTGACTAGTTAAAACTGATTCACAGATACATTCAAAAAAATTTTGCTGTTAAAATGACGTTATAGATATCGACAAGCTCGTCAAAATGACTTTTGTTGTTATCCATAATAATATTCCCAATAGTCACACTCAGCTATTAAATGTTAAAACAGCAGTGTCCTCTAGTCTCCCTTAGACATCATGCACCGAGGAAAATGTCGGAATGCGCTGCTGCTGTGAGATTTGACATATTGCGTGCCGTTGATATACGCAGCACAGCCCAGTGTACTGGGGTGAAGTCTTTAATGGTAAAACCATTTCCCCCCTCGTTTCTCACTGCTAATGCTCGCTTCCTTTCGGGGGGGTGGCTGCGGATCAATTGCCAACATCTGCTCTTTTCATTTGTTCTCTCGTTCATCTGTCACTCAGAGACAATTGATGAAGTTTTGCGTTACTTGAGTGACTGATGCCTCTCTTTACTTTGTTGTGGCATTCACTCCTCTTCGGTGCAATAATGTAGACACCATAATTTCACAATTATAGCCGACAGGTGCTTTGTCAGAACAGGTTCATTGTTGCCTAGTTGTTTGTTTGTCTTATTTTATGGGCTGATCTGACAGCAGATCATCCCTCCCTGAATGTCTGTAAAGGCCCAGCCTGCCTCATGGTGAGCGCAGGACGGTCGTGAGCTGATGTAAGCTGACCCAGTGACGTGATCGCTCTCTGCTTTGTCTCTGCTCCTGAGTCATGCCGCTGTCACCACGATGCGCCCCACTCTGCCCTCATCCCTGCTGCACCCATTAGCGTTGCCATGTGTCCCGTGAGGACAGATGACAGGGCAACCACTTAACTCAATTTTTCCTCCTGTCCCTCTCTGTTATTCCTCTTGTCCTTCCTATCCTCCCTCCCTCCCCCCACTTATGCTCTCTTTTCTGTTTTTCCAGGGTTGGAAAGTGGCGGTGTGACTTTGAAGGAGCCCATCTCGGAAGGGGAAATCGAGAGTTCTTCGCCCGTCACGTTGCGCTGTCATATCGATGGACACCCTCGGTGAGTCTCCTCCTCTTGTCACCTCGGGTTCAGAGTTCCTCACGTTGAGGACTGTACTACAAAGCTATTCTTCTATCCTTGGTGTCCTCTCTCATGCCCTTATGTTCCTTTGTTTCTATTCTTCTTCTATTCTCCTGTCCTCACCCTTGAATCTTTTCCTTTTTTGTCTTCTCTTCTCTGAAACCTCTCCCATGCCCACCCTCTTTAATCCTCCTCTCCTTCTCAGCCCAACGTGCCAGTGGTTCAAGGATGGAGTGAAGCTGACAGAGAAAAGCCATCAGATCAACAACAAGGAGAGGACGCTCACCTTCAAGAGCGCCAGTCCGGATGACAATGGCCTGTACTACTGCTGCGCCAAAAATGCAGCCGGGCATGTCTGCAGTAATAGCAACTTCACTCTCAACATTATAGGTCTGTGTGTGTTTGAGAACTTCATCCACTTCAGCATAGAAATAATTCACTGATTATTGCTTTGTATCTATATTAATATCTACTATTAGAAAATAGTGACAATGACAGTCCAAGAAATCATTTTGCAATATATACAACAAAAAAAACCAACAAATTACCACATTAAAGAAAGTGTGTTGCACATTTTTTGACTTGCAAAAAAAAAAAATGCAATGGGATAATTATGCAATAGGATGTTTTTTAGATTCACATAAATGCATGAGATGCAAACTGTCATGAAAGCACAGATCACAAAGTTATCATGTCCTTTGATGCTGGAGCTCCGTCCCTCTCCATCGCTATTTATAGCTATATCGTCCAGCCATTCTTTACCAAGTAATGATTACTTTTCTGTCACTTCAGTTATGAATATTTGTCTAGTTTCAGCTCTAGATGTTTTCAGCTTCCAGTAAATTTTTCCACATTTCTGCGCCCTGAAATGGCAAACAAGAGGAGAGGGTATAAAGACTATTAGCGGTGAGAGAAAGCAGGAAGAGAAAGTGATGGAGTTTGTAATGTGATTATGGCTGCCTGTGTTAGCACCTTCCTCCCCTGCCACCCACACAGACAGAGACAACATTATAATCATCTACAGAATGAACAATAACCTAAGCTCCCGCAGCAGTAGGATCTTTCTGTTGATTTAACGGTAACTGCAGCTTTCACAGACAGTTTGTCGTACATGAAGGCTATGTGTTTTTCTGCAGGCTCTCAGCATGGCTTTTGTTGTTTACTCTGCATTTGTGTGTGTGTGTGTGTGTGTGTGTGTGTCCATCCCTCCCTTGTGTATTATCCTTTGCAGCCACACCACAGAGCTCGTACAGTACATACAGCAGCACATCTGTGCAAGAAACCCGATTCCCTGTTCCACTTTAATTACCCACCTGCAACACACAGACACACAAGGTTAGCACCTGGGTGGAGGAAGAATGGATAATTGTTGAGTTTCCAGTTACGGCATTGCCACCCTCCGCTCCTCTATAGAGCTTCACCTTAAGGAAGGGCTGACAGATTTAGACTGGTTTTCAATACGCAGTCACACATCTTTAGGTTGAGGTCTTTCTACTGACTTCCTGGGTGGGCCAGGTGTGCTCTGAGTGCACACCTTTGTTTTCCTTCACACCAACCAGTAGCCATATACTGCCACTGGCGCCACAACTCCGTCAGCTGTGCAGATTTGAAATACTCACAAGCATAAACCTGGATTAGGGGTATTTTCATGTTCCCCTTTTCTTTGTTGAGCTCAGCGCCTTTCAGTTTTGTATTTGGAGTCGGAAAATCTCCTCCCCTTGGATATATTGCACCAAATCTCTGTTTTTGCCAGGTCAGATCAGTCTAGGCCAGTGTTCGCTAGAGCAATGTGGTTTGAAGACGCCTGTCAGGGTAGAACAGTTCAAAAGAAATGTCGATAAAAGAAAAAGTGATGTGGGGCAACCTGATAGCTGAGCGGTTAGGGTGGATACCACATGGCCGCAGATGCCCTAAGAAACAAGTCCCTGGTTTGATTCCAGACTGGATTATTTCCTGCAGGTCATTCACCTGCTTTTGTTGCTCACACTTCCTATCTATCCTTAAGAAAAAAAATTATGCAGTTTAAGCATTGTTGGGGTGATTTGTAATTAATCTAAAAATATTGCAACCTCTGTTGCTAGAAATACAAACGTACCACTCATATTCCTTATTTACACATTAAATTATCTTAACCTTCTTATTATCTTTAAATTTCCTGACATCTTTTATCCTTGGGTTCGATTTGGCCCCAGCAATTTAAACTTCCAGAAAATATCATAATTAAAATTGTTACCCAAGTTTATGTGTAAATACCCGTTTAAATAAAACTGAAAAAACTATGTCAATGACTTATTTAGAGATGTTAAACATTGAATGGGGTCAAATTGACCCCAAAGACAGTAGGAGGGTTAAATAATTATCAAAACCCTCATTAGGTTTTCCTTGTTTCCACTGTCGTTGATCCCTATTAAGTCCAGTTTCTGGGAATAGTCTTTCTTTAGATTATCACAGAAACGAGTGAGGTGATCTCCTGTATGTGATTCTATGATCCAAAAAAGAAGGAGATGATAGTCCAGAGGATCTACAGGGTCTCTCCACTGACCTCATTAAGTCTCCCTGGGGCCCCTGTGGTGTTGACACATACCACCACCACCTGAAGGCCGCTTGCTCACAGCCTCAGGCTGCTGTTGGCAGCTTTTAATAAAGCCCAGAGTAGAGTGGTGTGATGCACGAGCATCCTTGCAGATGGAACTTGATGGTCCGATGCCTGCAGATGTAATCATGCAGATGTTTGTCTGCCTCTCTCACAGATAAGAGTTTCCCGCGGCCGGTGGTCACTCCCGAGGACCAGGTGGTGTTGAGGAACGAGGAGGCTGTGTTCCACTGCCAGTTCACCGCCGAGCCAGCCCCCACATTGGAGTGGTACCACGAAAAGGAGCCGCTGGCAAACAAGTCTCGGTATGTTGAGTGCTAAACCCTCCCCTTTCTCATCATACATCTAACTCCTCCAGTTCTCTCTCTCTCTCTCACTCTATATTCTTGGACTCCCATCTCGCAACCACCCACATCTCATCCTGCCCCCACGTCTTTCCCTCTCCTCATTTGCCATTATATAAGCATCAGTCCTGTGTGTTAGTGTGCAGCAATTGGGTATTCCTTTGAACCCAATGAGGTGGAACCCTTGCGTCAGGCTCTCGGCTGGTTGTGTGCTGTTTCAACTCTGGCTTAAGATAAATTGCACATTAAGGAATGTTATTACTGGAATAGAGTGCTGTAAAGTTTCTCTGCAGTCTACTATACATCACTTGAATGCCGTCTGTCTCTCCAGCCTATCACAGAAGACTTTGCAGGTCTCCAGTGTTCGGAGCACGGAGCAGAAAAAACCCTTAAGCTACTATTAGCTTGCCAGCTTGTCCCCTATAAACACAGAAGCACTAGATAATAACCAATTTCTATACATCGTGCCAAGTATACCTTCAGGGTTCATAGCACCTTTGTGCTTATACATACTCACAATGTAGGCAGTCTGTTTCACATGGAGAGCGTGCTCCTGGTTTTCTATTTTAAAGGGATTATTGAGCTCACTGAGCCAGAGAGGTGAAAGACTCCAATATCAATAGTTAGTCATTTGTGTAATGAGGGTGTCAGAGGCAGGTTTGGTCACCAAAGCAGTGATGACTCAACACTAGGATTGCAGAGTGATGTGTAATAAACATAAATCTAAAAACATACAGATTGTTGCTTTGAAAACCCAGCCTCTTTGTGCTGAAGGTGTTCCAAAGCAGCCTGGTGTTTTGTGTATTTTTGTTTATTGAACTGGTTATATTGCCAGAGGAATGTAGCTCTCTGCAGGGAATGTCATCTGTTTTGCACCTGCACTGTTTAGGTAACTATGCGTGAATATCCAATGTAGATTGTTTTTCATATGTGTGAAACTAAGAAAAAATATACCACCTTAAACTCAAGGCTGTTTTCTGCAGACAGTTTCTTCACCATGAGTCAAACATGTTCTGGAAGGAAAACTTTGAAGCTTTGCTGATTGTTTCTGCATGATTCCTTGTAGCTCCAAGAATTATAGTTTTTTTTTTGTTTTGTTGTTTTAAAAAGCTCTGTCTTTATTTGTTTTGTTTTATAGTTATTTTAGGCAATTTCCTCAGAGTGAAGCAATGTTCCATCTCCAGGATGGGAACATACACAACTCATTT